ATTAAATGTGATACCAGTTAAGACTTGGCTCAAATCATGGGCGGGGCAATCATCCCCATCCCCATCTGCGGAGGACAGACCAAGGCCATGGCCAACCTAGGACCCAGTCCTCAGTTAAGCTTGCTCTTCCAGCAGCTCACAAACCCCTTGGGCATGGGGGAACAGCAAAGAGAGGGAGATGAGTGGGCTTACTTTCCAAGAACCTCCCGCCATCTCGAGAAGCCCTGGTAGGTTATGCATAGGTTATGCATGGAGCTGCTAGCCACAAGGCCAGCAGTTTGAATCTACTGGCCGTGCCTCTGGAGGAAAAGGAGGCTGTCTGTTCCTGTGAAAACACACAGCCTCGGAAATCCCTGAGGAGCAGATACACCCTGTCCTGTAGGGTCGCTGTGCACCAGAATGGACTCGGGGGCAGGGTTCTGTTTTGTTTTTTGGTAACTTAAAGTTCAGGAGACTCACTTGCTGTGTTAGGACACACAGCACACATCTGTACATGGGAAAGGGTAAGGGATGACTCTCTAATGACAGAGGAAAAGACACATAGGTAATGTTTGTTTGCAAATCAGGTGTGCTGGCTATGCTCCGCCTGCCCCTCCAGACCCTCTTTCAGCCCCCTGCCCCCCTCCACCGACTTGGTGTGTTGTGAGTCAGTGGGCTCACCACACACTGGCTTCTTGCGGGGCCTGTGGGCACACCCATTTCTGGTGGGGCTGCTACTCCCAGGCCCGCCACTCCCCAGTCGAACACTCCCTCCCTTCAGCCCCCTGCCCAGCCCACGCTGAGTCACATCTGCTCCTTAATCATTCCCCAGCAATGCAGCGGAAACTCCACGTCATACACAGCCATTGAGGAAGGCAAGCTCAGCTGCTGTGGTGCACCCCCTGCTCCCCTCCCTCCCCACCCACAACGCCCACGTGCACCCGTCACAGAGCTTGGCCCTGCTGGGTGGCCAAGGGCTGCTTGGGGAAGTAGATAGTCTTTCTTCTGAACTGCCTGAGAGTGAGTGTGAACTACCAACCTTTCAGTTAGCATCAGCCGTTTGCACCACCCAGGGACTCCTATCTGAGTATAAAGCAACAAATCCAAATACCCCAAATCAAACCCAACTCGAGGCCATCGGGTCGATGCCGACTCACAGGGACCCTGTAGGACCAATAGCGCTGTCCTGTGAGTCTCTGAGACTGTCGTTGCTTATGAAAACAGAGAGCCTGGTCTTCCTCCTGTGTTGGGGCTGACCTTGTCATCAGCTGCCCAACGCTTACTAATCACTATGCCTGCAGAGGTAGTTATCTAAAAGCATAGAGACCAAAGCCCTAAAGGAAATAGGCCACTAATAATAAAGTAGGGATTCCTCCGCCTTTCATGATTCCTACTTCCCACATTTTTGGAGATTAGGCAAGAGAAACAACCTCACTGAGCTGAGAGGCAGGCTCAGTGACGGGAAGCAGTGCAGGCAATGGGCTTAGGAGCCAGGCCCTGCCACCTGCTAGACGGTGAGCCTTCAGACCCTCTCTGGGCCTGGGCTCCATCTGAGTCTGTGGAGGCGTGGATGTCATGGCTCTGTTGGATCCATGTAATGATGTGGTAGTTACATACTCTGTTGTCAACTTGAGACTTATAAGTGAAGGGGTGGAGTTTAGCCTGTCAATCAGGTCGCAGCTTGATGACCTCATTTGGAGGCGCTAAAGAGATAAATAGTTCGCTGGAGGCAGGACACAGATACACTCCCTGAGAGACATTCCTGTTGACAGGACACATGGAGCTACACTAGAACCTTGGAGCTAAAGGAGCCACGTGGAGACTCACGGCAGTGCTGAGATGTTTCCACCGCCACTGGATCCACAAGACTTTCCACCCACTGGCCTGTGATCTTCCTGCATTCAGTGTCATTGCATGTGTTGCATGAGTCTGAAGAGGAACTTACAGACTTGTATCAGATACATGGGCTAATATCGGACTTACGGACTTGATCTGGACCAGGCTGGTGTGTTTTCTTAATACACAATTGCTCTTGGATATAAAGCTCTTGCTTATACACATATAAGTGTCTATGAATTTGTTTCTCTAGTTGACGCAGACTAACACAGAGGATGAGTGAAATCCTGGGCAGCAAGGACTGTCCACAGGGCCTGGCACATAGCACCGGGCTCAACTAGAGGCAGCTCCTGTGCTACTAGGGCACGTTATGATGGAGAGCCAAGCTGGAGCTCATTGTTTTAAGAGGAGAAGCCAAGTCTGGGATTCTCTGGTCTTGCAGCAAATGGGCTTTCCTCTTTGTGGGCATCCCCACGGGCTGGGCATTACCTTGAGCTGGTCCTGCGGCGTGAGCAGTCCCGCACGCACCAAGCCTTCGAAGGACTCCACCTGGGCGTGAGAAGGAGCAGAGATGCTGTCTTTAATCTGGACTCGGGATGGTGGGCCCCATAGACACCTATCCACACCAGCCATGTGGCGAGCTGGACCCAGCCCAGGTGGGGCTGCCTGCCCATCACAGAGGAGCCCCAGGAAGCCCTCTACTCCTGGGGTGTCCCATGGCTGCATCTTCACAGTGGAGCCCCCAGGAAGGTGTGGGCAGTCCAGCACACTCACTGGTGTCCTTTGGACCTGAGCCAAGCCCCACCCCGTAGCCCAGGGGGAGGGCGCAGGGAAAGGCCTAGTAGTGTGTGGAGGAGCACACAGCCCTTCCCCAGACTTGGGGAGACAAGTCTGTGCACCCCTCATGTGGCAACATCTCTAAGAGCTGCTCTTTCATTACAAAGCACTCAACCAAGCAGGGCGCATTGAATGCTACCTCTGAACACCGTCTTTACGGAACGAGACCTGTACAGATATGTACAGGTACTCTGTCTCAGAAAACGCACGAGAAACGGGGAGGGAAACTGGGTGGCTGGGGCATGAGGGCAGACAGATGGTGTGAATCCAGCCTGTTTTCCCCAGTGTTCACACCACTGTGGCACTGGGAGCTCCTTAAGGGGCTGAGGGCCGGGGGTGGGGGGGAACAGTTCTTCACTGAATACACCTTTGGCTTGGTGTGAGTTTGTGTGTGTGTGTGTGTGAGTTTTAAAGAACATTTTTAAATTTAAAAAAGTCCACTATTTATAATGCCATATGAATTAAGTAGCACAATGCCTAATGGTGTAATATAATGATCTATTTAGATATATTCTCTAGAAGGCTACCGTATGCTATAGAGTATATTTAGGATAACAGTGACATAGATTTTGTCTATGTATGTATAACGTAATACATAATGCAGTACCTTACATAACATCCTGAGGGGTACCGGTGGCACAGTCCAGAGCCCTAACGGTGCCGTGGTTGCGTGTTGGGCTGCTAACGGCGAGGTCTGCAGGTCAACACCACCAGTCACTCCATAGCACAGACGAACCTTTCTACTCCGCGAGAGCTGTCTCAGAAACCCAGAAGGCCAGTTCTACCTTGTCCTATGGGGTCGCTGTGAGTCAGAACTGATCCGACGGTGGTGAGTTTGTTGTTTCATTTTATTTGGGGAGGCATCCCGGGTTCAGTCTTCGGCTGCTAACTCAACCCAGAATGAGATGTCATCGCTCAAATATGGTGTGAGCTACACATGTCATTCAGATGTTTGCAGGAGCCACATGAAACATGGACACCAAGCTGGGGAGCCAACATGAGTAACAGACTTTCTTTGACACAAAGTCTCAGTTTCAACACTGCACGCAGGGAATTACCTGAGATGGCTCTTCTAGCTGGTCTTTGAAATGTCTACCAGATGGCCAGATAAAAACCAGGTCCAACTCACTGCCCCAGAGGCAATTCTGACTGATAGCAACCCTGTAGAACAGGGTGGAACTGCCCCTGTGAGATTCCAAGGCTGTAGCTCTTTAAGTAGAAAGCCCTGTCTTTCTCCAGCAGAGTGGCCTGTGGTTTTGAACTGCCGACTTGGCGGTGGCAGCCCGACACTTAACCCCCGCACCACCAAGGTTCCAAATGACTGGATAGGACAACGCAAATCTGAGATGTTTGTGATCCACCACGGGGATTGGATAGCTTGCTAATAATGTACACAAGGTATATGAACCACGTGGGGTGTGTGGGACTCTGACATGAGGATTGGTCAGTTTTGCCATCAGGCTAGATTTAAAAAGAATTGTCACAGAAGCGGGGAGGGGGCTTGCACCACCATCAAGAGAGAGGGACCGAAGAAGGTGTAGCATGCCTTTTGGACCCTGAGATCCTATGCACTGAACTTCGATGAAGCTGCTGTTTAAAACATGGTGGTGTTTCTCTGGGGGAATTACTTCGCTTTATAGACACGGAGATACGTTCTCTACTGTATCTCCCTTTTGACGACTGACCACCAGGGAGCTCCAAGCCAAATATCTGATGCTGGTAAAGTGGGCAGGGCCCAGGCAGACCTATTGTTTACGAGTGTCATCCTGAGTTCATTTAATTCTTTTTTCTGCCTTTACTTCCCCTTTACACCAGCTTCCTCATTCTGTCTCCAGAATATGGTGATAACGCACGCATCTTCGGAAGAGGCTCTAAAGCACGTTGAGAAGCCCAAGTGTGTGTACACAAATCGACTGCAAACAATTCACCGTGCCTTGGGATTGCTTGATGCAAGTCTAAAGGCCCTGTGAGAGGTAGCTGAGAATTGATTTTTGGTAATGAAATGAACTGAGAAAGTGAGGCAGTTTGTCTTCAAGAGAAGGCTCCATTACACTTCCAGAATCCCCAAAGAGCTGGCAGTCTCCCCAGGAGCAGATGAGGGGCCACCATCGATCACATCTGGAAGGACCAGATGAGATTCAAAAAGGCCAAAAGCAAGAGGGTTTGAACTCTAGCTCTGGGTACACGGAGGCGGATGGAGTCACGCCGTCCCTAAAACCAGGGGAGGGGGCTCATGCTCCCCAGGGGCTGCGTTAATGCCAGTCCTGGGGCAGGGGGGCTGGACACGCTGGCCTCTTCTGGGCAGGCAAAGTCAGGATTGTACTTACCTTGGCCAGGAACCTGCTGGCCTGAGATGCCAGGGCCTGGGTTCGCTCTGCTGAGGGTTGGTGCTTGGCCATGCTCTGGTTCTCCGGAAGCCACCCTGGGGTGGCAGCGTTGCTGGGTGAGGAGGGGCTCAATTCTCCTTGTGCTGACTGCCACCCTAGAACATACACCCAGTGGAGGCTGGAGTCAAGAGCAGTCCCTCAGGGGCTGAAAGACAATGCCATCCTCCACACCACCAGCTCCACCATCACAGCTCAGTCATCTCAGCCCATCTCACACCCTGAAGCGCAAGCAGGACATAGCACTAGCCCAGCTACAGGTGAGAGCAAGGTCTACATCTGCCTGGGCTCACGCACCCAGCCCGTCCTCTCCCTCCACCAAACTGACCCACGTCAATGGTAAGGTCAAGAGCTCTGGCGGGGCTCAAAGGCTGTGGGTTTAGGTCCTGGTCCTGCCACCTAGTGGCTGTGTGACCTTCAGCCTCTCTGAGCGTTGGCCTCCTTCCCTGGCAGTGGGCTAACAGCAGGGCAGACCTCTCCAGGTGGACGTGGTATTGACCGATCAGGGTGTTGGGGCGTAGTTCAGGGCCTGGCCACAGGAGGCAGCAGATGACCTGCTCTTTGCAACTTACCCAAGATGCCCTGCTGCCGGATCTTGAGCAGGCAGCTCTGGCTCTGAATGGGACACTTCTCACGGCTCCATTTGGCTTCTCCAAGCCCAAGGGCCACAGAGGGAGCTCAGCTCACCTTGCCCCAACCGGAAGCCAGTGCCATCCAAAGGTAACCGTGTCCCGTGAGAGCAGATGCCCAGCTCCTCTCTCATGCTCACCTGAGACCTCAGTGGCCTGAGGAGCCTCTGCGGGGCCCGGCTGCCACTCTGCTGTGCGGGGCTGTGGAATGGTGAAGGACAAGACCTTGGTCCCCTGGGACACCGTCCCCATGTGGGCACTGTGCCTGGGCTGGGGTGGGTCAGAGTACAGGTTCACCTGTGGGAGAGGGGAGGCACAGGAAGAGCCAAATCAGGGTCGGGCAAAGCCACTCAAAGAGGGGGCTTTTCTTCAGTCATACCTCCATCCAGGCACTCAACACACGCCCCTGCCTCTGCACGAGGGGCCTTGGGTGAGGACAGATGCTGGGGAGGTGCGTCCACGCCTTTCTGTGAAAGCGAGGGCAGGCACCTCCCCCCCTCCCATATTATAGAACAGGAAACTGAGGCTCCGAGGACAAGTCACGTGCTAACAAATCTCATCGGTGGAGTCTTTCAACTGGGATGCAAACCTGCTCTGTATAACCCCAAAGCCCATGGTTTCCTCTACTGAGATTTTTTTTTTAATGAATCACACTCATAGCAGTAATTATAATATGTTCTATAAATCTCCATCATTTGAAGATGATATTGAGACTGTGAACAGCCCAGTGGGAAACCTAGGGAAGCCTACAGTCAGGCAGATAACCAGGAAGACCATCTGAGGCTTCACATGTGAGTTAGTTAATTGTGCCAGCCTGGCCGATAATCACATGTGGGGCTAATTGAAAGGCGGAGGGATAAA